AGCACATAACCCCCTGTAAAACCAAAAATAGTCCTATTTTTATTTTGGGCTAAACAAATGAGATATAATGTGCTGTTAGCACAATAGCTGTTCCCCCATTTCTTGTCTTTATGCTAAGCTAAGCTAACCATGGCTGTAACCTCATATTCAACAGACAGATGTGAAAGAGGTGTTGATCTTCTCATCTAACTCTCGGTAAGAAAAGTGCATTTTTCAAAATGTCAAACTCAACTCATTAACCTTAACCTCTCTAACCTTAACCTAAGTCAAACCATAACCAAAAACCGAGTCTCAACCCAATCAAGTAAATAGATAACTTTGTGAGACTGGATGCAATAGCTGCCTTGCAGGATCTGAATGTCAAAACTGATTTAACACATCCTAATACCTTATTTTCACCATGTTTAGCAGCTTGTGATTTCTCTTCCTCGCCTGTGCTGTCAGTGAAAAGGGGGACTAGAATAGATTATACATGCAAAGAGATGCGTGGGAAAATAAAAGAAGGTGAAAATGAGAGCCTGTAGGTGCCAATGGGGCCTCTGATACTATTCAATGCCATTTGACATCGGCGCAGATATCTGGCATGAGTGTCAATTGCACTCAAGGCAGCAGATAAAGGAATCATCTCAATACAATCTCATTATGACTATCAATAAGACATCAAAGGTTAAAGACAATATCAAACTTCAGGCGCAGAACGCTGAAGTGTGTGTAATAACTTCAAGCTAGAACACACAAATGGTACAAAGGAAATGTATATTTAGACAGTGCCATCCTTTGAAAATGGAGATCAGAGACAAGGGGAGGCTGTGTGCTGACAAGAAGACTGTCAGAGTGGGACAGAGGAACCTACCCGGGGCCTTGATGAGAGTTAGACAGGGGGACGCTCTCCTCTCTGCATTCTCTGGTGGCACTATTTCTTTCCCGCCTCCGTTTGGCTTAAGGGTGTCTGCCACTAGCTGACCTGCTTCTTCCACTGCTGTTCGAGGGCTGATGAAACTACTGTCGGAGTTCCCAGGGTTGATACTGGTCTCTTGTGGAAGCGCAAAGCTCCATTTCCTGGCAGCTGGTTGTGTCACATTCTCCTTGCTTGGTTCAGTGTGTCCAAACACATTGCCATAGCAGCTCACTGGTCTGCCCGGTCTGTCCGATCTCCGTCCAACAGCCCTCAGGGAAACCTCTGAGGGAGCGGGTGCTGTAATAGCAGGGGGGGTGCTTACAAAAAGACTCAGTGTGGACCTGTGTAGTGTTCCACCATTTTTTTCTGCATCTGAAGTGGATGTATTTGGTGCTACAGCAGAGTTTGAGTCCAGATGGTGATACGAAGGTGCTGCATTGTGTTGTGAATGGTTTCCATGACCCCACATGCTGTTTTCTTTGTACACTCCATCTGTGTAGCTGTGTCTGTACTCTGGGTGCCTCATCCCAGATCCTACTTTGGCTGGACTGTAGCTCTCCCTGTGTTCTGTCACTTTGATGATGGTAGCCTTTCTTCTGTGGACCACTGTGTCCAAAGCATTGCTAGCTGGTGGGATCCCCGCCCTTTTTGTGCTGGGGCTGGACATCACCCTTTGCTCGGTCACTTTGACTATAGTGGCCTTCCTCTGCACTGTAACCTGCCTGGAGTTTGGGTCCATGGTCTGGTGGGATAGTGGTGGCGAAGGGGATTCACTTGACTGGGAAGAGTGGTTGCGGTTGTTGGCGCCAGGTAAACTGGCCGATCTGGTCACTTTCCTGGAGGAGATGGTGATGGAGGAGAAGCCGGCTTTGTTCTGAGGGATGATTGTAGTCACAGCAGAGCTTGTCTGTATGTGCGAGGGATGTGAGCTGCTGTTTGTTCTGCACAGTGGGGCTGTTGCCTTTATAGGCTGAACACTGGTTGTCCTATGCAAAGGAGTATATGACTTATATGTCTCTGTGCTGTTTGTCCCTTGCAGCAGAGTGTGTGGTTTGCAGGGATCAGCAGAAGTTGTTCGACGTAGACTATTCTTAAGGGGCTCTATGCTGGTTGTTTTCAACAGAAGGGACTTCCTGTTGGGGTTTGAGCTGGTCCCTGTGGGGAGATCGTTGGACTCACTGCCTCCAGGGAAAGCTGACCCCCTGTTGGTGTTCCAGCCTCTTCTCAGAGTTTGCCAGGCTACAGATCTGTCCCCTTCGTTAACTGGAAAGCTTTGTTTTTCTGGCACCTACATCGTGTGGATAAAAGAGATTCTTTGTGATAAATATCCTTAATTATGCATGGAAACCCCATCCTACCCTCCTGTTGTTGCTAATGTCTCTTGCTAAATGTTTTGTCATTAATCAACACAATACAACACATGCTATACATTCGTCTTACCAATTTGAGCTCCTGTTTTCAAGAAGCAAATGCAGAAAATTGAGCATAACCGAATTTAATACGGTATAAGATATTGACAGTATGACATCTCTCTAATACTACATTTCAATAGCAGGTCAGCTGTCTTGTCTTTCTTCAGGGCTTTGCTGTTTGTTCTTTAGTCAGATGACTCGCCCTATGCTTGACACAGTGAATGCCCCAGTAGCAATGGAAGCAGCAGCAGGCAAAGCCAGCACACAGTGTGACTTATCCCTCACAGAATCACAATGAGACTCTATCCTCAATAGAAACTGAGAAGCAAAAAAGCAAAAAAAATAATAATTCTGGTCCTTAGGCTAGAGGATTCTTATGGTGTTTATGGAGCATGGAGAAAAGCTGATATTTCCCTGTTGCCTGCAGGTTTATGGTGAGACAAACCTCCATGATCCTTCCTTTATCAATGTTGCATAAACCATGGCAGTAATCACTTCTAAACAAGTATGAGATTTGTACTTATGTTTGAGGAATTTCAACAAGCTCTGACCATGTTTTACCTCACACATTGTAGCTGTCAACAAAGTACTTAGAGTGGTAAATAGTTTGTTATCTCTTTTATATATACTTACTTTAGTCCACTAATACATTTCTCAAATTATGATCAAATTTATAATGCCAGTAGTCATTAAGGTGGCAGGAATTTAGTCCATTTAAATTTTGTATAAGGCAACAATTAGACTAGTTTGTCATCTGTACAAAATGTCTAATTTTGCATTGGCTAAACGTTGCTGCAGCAGAGAGCACACAGACACTGACATCTGTGCTGATAATGGTCCACAAAGCAAAGAGGTCTGACATCAGCCAGTTGCTTTTGTGTTGATCACAAGTCATTTCTTTTTTTTTCAGTGACTGTTCTGCATTCAGACGAGGCATTGTTTGGAGAGGCTTTGACCTTATATGTTTTTCTCTGATTTGTTAAGCCACTCTTTCAAGTTCCATAGAATAGCTTTTCTTTTCTATATTTAAATTTCAGTTGAAGTTTTTCATCTTTCATCCCTTGGACTGCTCTATCATAAATTAGTCTCATTTCCCTCAGGTTTTAAAAGGGATGGCTTGCAACATAACTGATAAATTTTTGGTATATCTTCATGTACTGTAAATGAGACTCTCTCGTCACATAAATGAGGGGTCAGAATGTGTTCAGGAGTCCAGGACTAAACTAAATTAAGTCAAAATGAAAAACTTTCTTCTATTGTATGTGCAATAGAAGAAAGTAGTTTGGTAGTTTAGACTATTTGGTAGTTTAGACTATTTTCAACACAAAAAGTGTTTATAAATGAGGCCCAACCCTGAAACACTAAATCTATCATGGTTAGAAAGTGGCCTAAGTATCAAAAACACAGACATACTATGTGCTTAACAGACACATACATAATATTCGTAACATATATCATAATATTCTACCATTATAGCGTTATCTTCTGGTTTATCCTGAGCTCAGTGTACAATAGCAATCATACTAGAGGTGTTATCAGTTACCTGTTTAGTAATGGGAGAGTCTTGATCAGGTGTCTGCCACGTCCTCACACCCAAAGCGCTCGGACTGGTGCGACTGCTCTCCACCTCTTCATCTATGTATCAAGGCAAAACAAATCCACTGACACATTCCCCACAAGACATGACACTTTCTCTCTCTCTCTTTCTCTTTTACACACACACACACACACACACAGAAGTTAGGCATTCCCCTGACTGTATGGCAATGTTGACACTGTCAATAATTGACGTTGGCACAGCAAAGTGAATTTAGCACCACCCCGGAGCCACTTCTCTGCTACATCAGGAGACAGAGCAACTTGACTGGTCTGCCTCTCAGCCCTGACTGATACTCTGTTCCCCCCATGACTGCCTGCCTGGCTGCATTTACACCTGCTGCTGTTACCATGGTGACTGGCTCTCACTTTGGGATAACCCTTGAATGCTGTGTGGATAATCCATGGTGTTTTTTCATTTTAAGGGAGAAAACAAGAGACAAGGTGAAAATTGCACCACTTTGCAAATGTGATTACAGCTGAAAAAAAATAAATAAATTGTCTTTAGGGGCACCATAAAGGACTCTACTCTTTCTGACACATTGTTCCACCTGCTGTCATCACTATACGTCTCATTTATTTCTCTATAAAGGGCCAGATGCCAACGTATGGACCCCCTGAAAGAGCTTCTCTCATTACCTCCAGAGCTCAAATAACCTTTTTTCTGACTCAACAGCTGACCTTAATATCCCAGAGGAAAATAAAGAAGCAAGACCATATGGCAAATACCATCTGAAGTCTCCACCCGCCCAATTTATTCCTCATCCTCATGAGTTTTATCTAAATAGTAAGTGTGAGCAGGGGGAAAATTGGCCAGCTTGTCTAAACATGAAGGCCCTTGGAGCACAAGATCCAATTTTATTATCATTTGCTCATTAACATCAGGCCATTTTAAGTTTGTAAAATGTGACTTTTATGGAGGCAGAGATCACTAAGTGTCTGCAATGAGACCTCAAGTCTGATTAAAAGTACTTCTGCAAGGGTTGCCAGCAACAACCAGAAAGAGAGGAAAAAGGGATAGAAAAGAGGTGGGATAATTTGCTAGCTGGAGTGTAACCGAGTCAATTCTTGTTGGAATAATTGTGGTTGGAATTTCTAATTTTCTTTCATTTAGTTTTCACAGTTGGAATTATGGATTTAAATGTACTGACAGCTGAGCAAAAGCAACTCGCATCAAAACAAGGCATATTTGGATGCAGTCCTGCATAAAGATTTTAGTTTCTTGTTGATCATCTTTCTTCAACTCATTTTTGGGATTTCAGCCATGGCCAATTTGTTTATGTGCACCTGCAATTTATTATTATTCAGACTGAAATAACTAAAAATATGAATATTTATGGCCAATTTTATTGACTGGCAAGAGATTTATCATTTATTTATAATTTATAAGAGAAATCCTCACCAGAAATAGTATGTGTCAAAAGCACATAATGATGCTTATATAACATATGCTTCAACAATTATATTATAGACCATATGGAAAATGATATTTAATAACAGTCTACCATGATTATACCTTTCAATGTGTCAGTACAGCCTGTGCCTGTAGCTTTTAACCAACAGTGTATGATATTAATAAGGTTTATGGTTCTTAAAACACCTTCCTATCAAAGTTCCTTGCTGCCATGGATGGATTGCTCTGATTTCGACAAGCAGCCTTAGCTTTGCCAGGATAATCTATGTATAAACAAGGACATGGTTGGAAGATCAAACCTCAGATCAAACCCAGAGAACGTGGGGCTGCCATGTTCAAAGATTAACAGGGCTCCTTCTCCAATCAGCCTGCATCTCTCCTTATCCCTCTGCTTCCCTCATCTCCTTCCATCACCCTTTTCAAGCCTAATAGTGCCTATTTCCTTTACCTGCAATACTGCAGTACACTGTGGCATAACAGTCAGGACCAGTTGTACTTGAAATTGACTTTGCTTTTGGGGGTGTTGTTTAAAGTGATCATCCAGTCAGTGTGGAGTGTTCGAAAGAGGACAGGGGCAACACTGCTGCAAGGAGCTGATTAGAGGCAGGTAAACCGTGTGGCAAGTCAGCCCTGAAATAAGCTGTTGTTCTCCCTCTGGCTAACGTGGCCTCTGCAGTTACCCTGTGGCCATATTTGTTCTAGCACTGATCAGGCACTAAAAATCAACTGAAATGGAACCTTTGTGTGTTTCAGGGAATTTTCTGTTGTGCAAGAGAGTTTTTAAATCTGGTTTCTTGTATTGCTTCAAGGTATAACATAATGAGCATACTAGCAAATTTTTTTTTTACTATGCTTAACTGAAAAAACTCTGTTGTTATACAAGTGATTGTAAACTGATAGAGCAAGTTGTATGTTACATACCCTGGGTCCTGTTGGCTGTTGCCCGATTCTTTTGAAATGTTGGAGTGATGGGTTGTTTCAATTTCATCTGTAAACAAAATTAGAAGACTTGATTTCACATTTAAAAAAGTACCTTTGCATCAGTATTGTCTGGCCTGAAAAAGTTTTTTGTTTGGTAGAAATAGATATATTTAAAATAATTCTTTTTGAGACAAACGCTTATTCATTTTCTGAAAGTTAGATGGGAAGATTGATATCACATATTACTCTATGTTTGTATGAATCACCTCTAATGCTCACTAATTAACACGTAATCTGTTGTTTAAATTTAAATGTAAAAAAGTTAGGCTAACTGTTTCCCGTTCTTTCCAGTCTTTGTGCTCATTTAAGCTAGCTTGATATGCAGCCAGTAGCTTGATATGCAGCCTTGAGAGTGTTATGGATCTCCACATCTAACTCTTGGCAAAGAAAGCGTGTATTTGGCCAAAACTTGTTTTTAACTACTCCTTTAGACATCATTTCTCAGAACTATAATTCATAAATATCAGTTAAACCAACCTTTGATTTAAACTACTGTGGTGAAAATCCCCAAATCTCAACACTGACTTCACATAATTATTTTTTTTTCAGTTAAGAGTCACAAGGGAAGGGATGTGCTTTTTGAATCAGTTCAGTCAAATCTCTGGTACAGCACAGCAACTTATCGATTTTAAAGTCTTATTATCAGTTCACTGGGTAACACTCCCATTGAATTTTCTCTGTACATTGACATGCGTCCTCTCAGGGCACAAAACTCTATATCTAGAGCTCCAAATGAGTCGTAAACCTTTCGAGAATGTGTGGAGTTCCTGCAGAGTAAGCTGTTTTCAAAGGATGCCGGAGCCCTGGGTAACTGAGACTTGACTACAAATGGCTCTCTGTGGCACTGTGTGTGTTTTAGTCTTCCTTGCTTGGCAATACGCACCATCACCTCCATTACACAGCACTTTACCTTTAGACTTGCAGAGCTTACACTGTCTAACTAACATGTAAGAATCACAAACACACAGCCTGAGAGGATGTCAGTGCCAAATCCAGGGTAAATCAGTCAAGCGTCTTTGCAATGGCCTATTTTAAAAGGCTGATACCCCAAAGAGCAGACACTAAAGCTGTTCTACGAGGTTTCTCTGGGACAAGAATTCTCAGTGCTCCGAAATAACAGTAAGGAGGCCTACAACTACCAAAATAACCTGAGTTGCTTACATTTAGTTAGTACAGTTGCAGAATTCCAGTTCTAGAGTATCTTCAATCAGCAAATGCTCTGTTAGAAAACTATGTGAATATACTTAAAGCTTTGTTGGGTGTTTTAAGTGTTTTACCTGGCTAGCAGAGTGGTCCAAACACTGGCTTTGTTTGCTAGCATCAGCCATCATCACTCTTCTTTGGATAGGCAGCCACCCAATTTTAACTGGGGCAAGATAACTGAGCTGAGCTTGCTCCTTCCCTGGGGCCTGCATGATATGAGCTCGCTCCCAGTTTCCTCTGTGGTCTGGAGGAGAAAAAAACCCAGTTTGGAGGGACTCCTGGCTGCCCAGCGAACTTTCACACAGGCTGGGACTATCACATGAAGATGAACCTCTGCTGAAGGAGGGAAACCCCAGCTGTCTCCAGGCACGTCCGGTGGGCTCTTTGTCGAGAGCAGGCATGGATGTTGTTCGATCATTAAAAGCTGGAACCTGATTGTGAACTGGGGCTCTGAGAAGGTCGCTCTGCATCCTCTGCAGGTGCTCCAGCCAGCCATCCAGCTGGCCCCCTTCAATGGCACTTTGGGGCCGAGGTGGACGTGGGGGGCGAGAAACACGGGGCAAAACCTCACCCTCTGCTATTGAACTTTCCCAATAGGACTCATCTCCTGATCTCCTCCAGCCCGGAGCTCTTCGTAGGTGGGCAGCTGGCCTGCGGAGAGTCATCCCTCTGGAGCTCAGGTAACCACTCACAGCTATAGGGTTTCAGCCTACAATAAAAGCCCTCTACAGTGGAGGTATTAATGAGAATTCCCCGGCTCAATTGGACTTGTTACCATGAGACATGCCAGAAATGCACTGCAAAGAATTAGTAGCTACCAGAATGCTGGAGGTCATCTTTGTTACGGATCTGTTATGAGAAGGTATCAGAGTACAGTTCAGAATGACAAATAACTGCAAATCATTCTAGTTCATGACAGACTACAATGTCCTGCTTTCATAACACCACTCTACAGATTCGCTGATACTACAACTTACCAGTTATTGACAAACCATCCTTTTTCACTTGCTTCCAACTCTCCTCAGTCCTTAGTGCCTAGGAAGTAAACAGTCTCTGTCTTGATATAAACTAGGTGCTAGTGGGTACTGTCTCCAGTCAGGCATATAGCAATGTGAGGGATGCTTTGGTGAACAAAAGAGTTACTGAGCACAAGGGCTGAATATTCAATACAGAGAGGGAGATGGCAAGAGACAGAAGGGGTGGGCGGGATTAAAGAAAAAACAAACACTTGTTGATGCAATTCATGACGTAACAAGATCTCCATTTAGACTAAGAACATCATTAACATTCAGCCTTTTAATTATGAAACAGTCTAATTTTGGGTTTATGTAAGTCAGACGCACACAATGTTTAAAAGAACTAATCAAACTTCCTGACATTCAGGCGTCCTTACAAATGATAAAGCGTCACTAATGAGCAGATTATCCATGTTATTCCATGAGTCACTTACTGCTTCAGAAATCCTCTTTGTTGAATTCCCCCTGTTTCTGCTCTTCCCTG